TACAATCTGACTGTCTAGAAAATACTTCTCGTGCAAAGTGGTTTTTGCAAGAGTAAGTAAAGAGCCCACTTACAGCTGGAATGCCCAGTATACCTTCCTTGAGTGGCAACTATGTCTGGAAACACAATGTCTGGAATATTCCATTTAGAGGATATTAATAAATGAGTATTTTGATAAGAATTTTCAAATACTAGTTCCCTTAATTAGTCTGCCATTTATTTTTATATTCCTACATTAGGTGTGTCACTTGAGATATATGTATATTTTTATTGATTATAACTATACTTTTCAGAATAATTTATACCAACAAAATTTAAATTGACATTATTGCTTTGTCCATGTCTAGCAAAATTGTAATTAAAACTGAAGCATAAACGAAGCAATTATTTGGTGTAATGATTCTACCTCCACATGTAGACACTGTCACTGTCTGTCCTTCTGTTGTTCATTAATTTGCTCAAGTGGGCCCAGTAATGTCTCCATTTTTGATACTTGTTGTTACTGTGTTTGGCATATTGAATATGTCATGTCATGCGGGCAAGATACTCTCGGTAGCCTGCTGGGCTCTCCAAGAGGGACAGAGGAATCGAACCCGGCTCAGTGGGGCTGGCTGCATGCAAGGCAAATGCCCTACCACTGTGCTATCACTCCAGTCATATAGACAAACGCCCTACTGCTGTGCTATTGCTCCAGCCATGTAGACAATGTATATGAAAGTAAACACACACACACACACACACACACAAATATGCAGAGGTAGTGCTGGTTTATTTTTTAAGTTAGTATGAGTGATAGAAGTAAACAGAAATAGTACTATAATTCCAAAGATAATAAATTATTCAAAATTATAAAAACTTACTATTTTTGTTCCTCTCTTAAAAGTATAATAGGAAAGATGTTTTGAATCTGTCTTATTCACTGTTATGTTCCCTGTCAGTGCCTGTTGCCTACTAGATACTTAATACTTGTTGAAACGACTTGAATCTGTATGATCAAAACAACTTATTTGTGTTTTACTTTGTATTTGTATGGTTCTGGATGTTTGGGCCACACCTGGTGGTGCTAAGGGCTTACTCCTGACTTTGAACTCAGGGATCCCCCTGGCAGACTCTGAAGACCATATGAGGTGCCAGGGATCAAAACTGGGTAGGCTGCATTTGTCCACTGATTCTAGAATTGAGAAGAGGAGCAAATGAGAGACGTGGCTATACCAGGAAGACTAATTTCCCTTATATCACTGGTCCTTTTATTATTGGAATATAACATCTATAGTCACTGTGTCTAGAAACTCTAATGAAGGCATTGCTCTGAGTCTCCTATTCCTGTAGCTCATGTAATCATAACATTAGGCCTCCTTGAGATAGCTGGGACAGTGATTAAATTCTTCCCAGAACTTAGAAAAGGCTAAAGAGCTTTGTGGAGTAATATTTCTAAGCACTCTCACTATACCAGAATCAATATCAATATGCTATCAGTATGTGCATTAGTCTCACAGTCAAACAAAGAACAGCTCTTAAAGTCCACTAAAGATGCAGGATAGCATCTGCATGGGGAATGAGCACAATGATGCAGAGATGACTGTGTCAGCTCTCCTAAACACAAAGTTTCCAGGATGTAGCACAAGAGAATCACATGTAGACTTCATCAGAAATAGGCAGGGTTGATTCAGTCACTAACACAGTCAACAATATTATGTCTCTATCTATAAGACCCAAGAGATGGATTAATTTTAGATATAATTTTCTGACTTGAAAAAAAAAGTTTCTTCTTCTATTCCTTGTATGTCTTTGTCTGGTGCCAGAGAATATAAATACATTAAAGTTAGCAAAGAACTATTTACGAAGCTGATAACACAGGTACAACAATTCTGAATCATTACTGACTCAAGTAAGATTGCAGTTACAGTTCTATCAAGCTCACACTCATTTGTGTAACATTTACTCATATCCTGCTAGAAAGATTTGTCAACCTAAGCTAGTGGAAAAAGATCTGAGAATCAATTCACATAACTTAAATCTTGAGGATAAGAGATTCTGCCCAAGATTATGACCAAGAACATGCTTATTCCTGCAGTAGATCACAGAATTTCATGATTTCTGACTTTCCAACTAGAATAAAAAGCAGTAAGGTGAATGCGATATAGTGATGATGACTAATCTCTAAAGTTTGCAGTTAAGATACCATAAAAACTAAGATAACTGTGAGTAAGCATGTGAGCATCATAGACAAATCATGTTGGTTCAAAATCTGGATGCAATCACTTATTTACTGTATGACCTATAGTTGCTGGTGTGATCATTAGAACTGGAGAGATAACACAGCAAGTAGGGTGCTAGCCTTGTATGGGGGCCTGACCTATCTTTAAGTCCAGCACCCTATATGGTCCCCCAACCCCTTCCAAGAAATGATCCCTCAGTTTAGAGGAAGGATCAGTCTAGAGGAAGCCCTAAGCACTACTGGGTTGTAATCCCAAAAGACAAAATATAATCAATATTTTTATCATTCCAACCATGACCTACTTATTCATGAAGATTTAATTTCTCTCTGTCTTTTTAATTCAGCTTTTTTTAAATCCATAATGTGAAGCATGGAAGCTCCTGAAAGGCTTCTGGGTTTGGCCACATTGTCATGTCAACAGGACTGTATTCTTTCGCTCATCACCATGAAACAAAATTTTTTAAATTCTAGAAAGTATTAGTGGCACACCAACAAATGCAATTATAAAGCAACCTCTCCCTTCCCCATATACACATACATACCCTCTCCACCCCGTGGGAATATATTAAAACTAAAGCAACTGAAATAGCCTTAACCAGTAATTAAGACATGCAGCAAGTCAGGCTGTGGCCCTCTGCAAAGAAATCCACCGCCTGGGTGACAGCTCCCATTACCAGAGCTTTGTTCTCCTGAAGCCAAAAGAACACAAAGCACTAAGTTCAGGAACTGTACACATATTGTGAACATTTGTGGGGATAGGGGCGATCACCAGCTTCTCTGCGCAGGGATGCAATGCCACCAGAGAACTGCGTCAGACCACATGTACTAGCACCTTCCCACCCTCCTCCAACTATGACTCCACTTTTTCTAATATTGTCCTTAAAGGATCTAGCTTCTGCAACTTCCAGTAACAGTATAAATCACCCTGGATGAAGCTTCTGGGAACACTATTAGACAAAAGGAACGAAAAATTAGCAAATAGAAAATTCAATAACATACTGCCCTTCATTATTACTACTCCCAACAATTTACCGTTACCTAACAAGTCTTTTTTTCATTGCTTTCACTTGGAAACATTACTTTAAAAGCTTTCTAATGGGAAATGAATTTCCCTAGATTCGTAATCCAGCCAGTAGACAAACCTTCCCTTCCCCCATCACCATCTAGCAACTCCTCCCTGTCACCTTAGAGCTTCTGACTTAGCTGTGTTCACACCCAGAAGTCCCAATAGAGCTTTCTCCTCACATTATATGACATAGAAAAGCAGGCGGTGAACAATTTATGCTCCTAAACGCTAGCAATAAAGCCAGGTTGAACTGACCTCTCCCCTCCCATCCAACTGCATGTCAGCCATATGAGCTTAAAGGACTGAGAGTAGCATGTGTGTGATGTATATAAACAAACTAATTAAAATCTGAGGTCTTTCATTCCAGCCAGTGCCTAATGGGACCAATATGCTCAACTGTGCAAAAATAATCACTTCAAGCTGGCTAGAGGTATTGCTTTACCGGCTTCCTATGATACATCTCTTTTAGACTCAATAAAGCTCCTAAAAAAATCAACAACTCACGGTTTGCCATCCTTTCCAGTAAGACATTTCAAATAAAAACTATCAACTCAGCAGCACGGAGCCAAAAGACCACTCCCTGATTACAAGTGGACATATTGATCAAATGAACTGACATGTGCCTCCTCCTTTCTCTCCCTTAGTAGCAATCAGAGCACCAGGGAAATCCATTTCATTTCCAAAACAAAAGGCAACACACTGCACCTTTTCTGATGCTGTCAAGTCACATTTCTGGATGATGATGATGATGATGATGATGATGATGATGATGATGATGATGATAGTAATAATAATATTGTGCTACTGATAAAGCTAAGAGTTGAAATGAAAATGGACACATGTTTATCTGAGTTTCAGAAATGAGGTTATGACTGAGCACAGACATCTGTAACCGAGGACCATATTCATTTTATCAAATTCTGGTTAAAGTTAAGCAAAAGATTACAAGATGCCTGCCACTTCCACTTCCAGAGCCTCTCCTCAGGGTTACCCTTTGCTGAACTGCCGCAGAGAGGAGACTTGTTACAAGTCAGCAGCAAACAACTCCAGCTATTTTAAAGACTAGCTAAAGATGGAAAAACATTGTGGCAGTCCAGCAGCTATAAAGGACAAGGATTGAAGAACTACCATATAAATCAAAAAGGCTCAAGTAATTTCCTTTGGTTTGGTCTTTATATTTTCAACAAATTGCCTTAAGTATGTAAATGATTTCCTTTCACATTAGGATATATTAAATGCTTATTCAGCATTCATTCCCTCCGATGAAGAAACTGAAACCCAACCTAGGTAAATACTGAATTTCATACTGCAAATTACAAAATATTTTATAAATCTAAGCACAAATAGGGACCAAATACCTCTGCCCCAGAAAAATTATTTATCGTCATAGTGTTTACATATATGAACTACTCCTTTTAGAGGCTGTTTTGAATTCTGCAATAGGAAATTACCTTATGTTTATTTTTAAAAATTCTACAAGAACACTAAAAAAATAACGGCTAAAGGGACAGCAAGAATAATTCTACTTATTTTTATTCTTCTATGACTCTTATAGGCCTTTGTCTTAACCCAGCAGACTGAAAAACAGATTTAGGTAAAACAGCCCTCCTTTCCCTAGTCCATTTCAAGCAGACAACACTCCCCCACCTCCGCCTTAGCAGACATCGACTAACCAACAAACAGCCATGCAATTAAGGCCCAGACATTTAACACTCACCATCTCCTGCTCCCACTGTCTTCTTTTGATGTTTACAGCACATCTGTAGGATGCAATACTAGAAGATGCCTTGTTTGACCTGCTGCATGATGCTGTGACATCAGTTCAGATGATGCAGCTCATTATGGGAAAGACTGCTGTTGCTATGGCAACTGGGATGTGCTAGGAATCCTTGCTGCATTTCCAGTGGAGGCTGAGACAATACGGAAGCGCTGTAAGGAACAGACGATATGCAAAATTTAGACCAAAGGAAGAGGATCTCTGATTTTATCCACTGATTTAAAAGGGAATTTCTAAACTAAAGGCACTTTGGAAAAAAATTAAAATGACCTCCTTCTTTGTTGTTACATGTCTAGGAAAGATGGAGAGTATTTACTATTAAGCAAATAAAATTCAAAATGCACAATGCACAATTCAACCACTTTTTCCTCTCTGTATAGAATTATGATACTTTTTAAAAAGTTGATAAAAAGAATTTTTGCTCATCTGCCAAAGACCAAAAATACAAATCATTTTTTTTAAATTAAAGATGGAACAGAAACAACTAAAAAGTAAATAGGCTCTTGTTTTCAAAATACAGGCAAACTCCTAAAGGCTTTAATTGTCCAAAAATAGGCAAACTTCGACCAATAAAGTTTACCCTAATCATTTTCTCTGAAGAACACCAACCCACAGAATTTTCTCATGCAGATTAGTTCCAACTCTCACTTGAATCTGTATAGGCAGGTGGAAGGAGATTTAGAATCTGGGGGGGTTGGGGTGGGGGGCAGGGGAACATCCTACACTACCATTAGTGTCTAGGTCTCTTTCCTTGGCCTATAGGGAATGTCTCCCACTCGTAAGTAAAATTTAAGAGGGTCTTTCTGAAACCAAACTAGAGGTTGGAACAAGTGGCAAATACAGTAGACGCTTGCTAAAAAGGCAACATTCCCAAATACTGGGGTTCTGCTTTCCTTTCTTTTAGAGCAGGAAGAAATTGCTCATGCTCATCCTATCTCCACCTCTAACCTCGCAACACCCCCCCCCACAAAAAAAAAAGGCCAGGATTGTTTGAAAAGTTCAAACAATTTAAACAAGGCATGGTGAGGTATTTCTCCATTTGGCTAAAAAATATATATATTTACAGCAATTAATTTCATTCTAGCCCTAAACAAAGACGAACATTGTAGGAAAAGAACTGGGGAACAGACAGAGCAGCTCCCTCCGACATATTTAATATTTGCAGACCCACAGAGACAGACAATCAAGCTGATCTACATCCATTCTACCTTCACACCTCTGGGGGAAAATGCAAAATCTAAAGAGATGATTATGTTGTCCCCTCCCACTGTGCCCTTAAATGGTACTGCTAACCAACAATGGAGCAGAATGGGGGTGGAATGGCAGAAGGAATTCAGGCAGTGCCTTGGAAAATAGGGGTTGATCAAATGCCTGGAAGGTGCCAAGACACAAGCAGGGTGCACCATCAGCTGTGCACAGAGCAACTGTGACCTGGATAGTGGCAGGTCCCAGATCAGGCCGCCCAAGATGTGCCAAAGTAGCATACTAATTATTTGGAAATAAAGAAAACAGACAGTGAATGAATGATACCCCAAACCTCCCTTTCTTTGTAAAGCAGACCGTTTTTCTGGCCCCCCTCTCTTTTCTGTTCCCTGTGAAAGCAAGAAATAAATCTATGTGAAAGTTACCCTCCCTGCACAGAGACAGGGAGAGACCCTTATTGTCAGTGAGATGGAAAGTTGCATTATAAAAACTGCCTAGGACTGAGGATATAGGTCAGGGATGCCTCACTTTTATGAGGTCACACTTAATTCCTGATATTGACCACTCCCTACCTCAGATAGAATGTCTGCTTGTCTCACTAAATTCACTGTCCATACAAAAAATTTCAACAATTTCTTTGTCCTCCTCTATAGACTCATTGCTTCTTTGTCCAAAAATTATATAAACTAACTACTTTAGTCATTCACCCATGCCTTATACAACTCCATACACATGAAATTAAATCTGTCATTTATCTTGAGATCTCTCATGTCAATTTATGTTGTCATCCAAAAGAACGAAAGGAGGAGAGAGGGAAAGCTTCTGAAATTTTTTCCCAAAGTCAAAAGTTGGGATTATTTTTCCTTCACCTAAAGAGGAACTAGGAGATGAAAATCAAAAGATGGATCTCTGTCCAGGCGTGATCTTGTTTAAGGACAGAGCCTCACTTCAATATTTTATACAAGTACCCAACTGAGGGAAGGAACAGGCATAACTCCAGTGCACTGAAAGCATTGGTTTAAGATTCAGGAAACACAATTATTCTACTTCTTCCAGTGCGCATATGTGACATTGGGCCAATCAATTAACGTCCCTGTGACTCAACTCTTTTGATCTGCAGAGATGATGGACTGAGCTAATAACCATAATTTTAAGTTCCTTTATTGGCAGTGGAACATTTTCTTCTCATGACAGACTAGAGCTGGATTAACCAGATTAAGAGAGATAAGAAGCCCAGAGCCAAGACTAATAACCTGTCTCAATCCCCAACCTTCACTTCATCATGGTCCCTGGTAGACAGATCTGAAGAGCCCATCACATTCTACAGAAGAAGTGAAAGTCACAAGTCTAGAAGAGAGATCCCAAATGTAGTTGGTCTAAGTCCTCCTTTTCAGAAAAAAAAAAATTACTCAGTGGAGCAATAGCACAGCAGGTAGAGCATTTGCCTTGCATGCAGCCGCACGGCCAACCCGAGTTCCATTCCTTCGCACCTCTCGAAGAGCCCGGCAAGCTACCGAGAGTATCCCGCCCACATGGAAAAGCCTGGCAAGTTACCTGTGAAGTATTCGATATGCCAAACATAGTAACAAGTCTAACAATGTTACTGGGCCCACTCTAGCAAATCAAGCAAAACAACAGGACAACAGTGACAGTGACAGTGACTCAGTGACCCACTGGAAATTAACCTTGTATAAATAAATAAACAGAAAGTGCTTCTCAATTATACCCAAGGCTACTTCCCCCTCACTTTGGGAAGCATTGGTTTCGAATAATATCATCAGTCTCACCAAACCTGATGCCAATGTTCTAGAAAAAGAACAAACCAAGGACAATCAGGACTCAGAATGAGATGAAACTTGTGGGCCTAGGTACAATTCAAAGGCAGAGAGCTTTCCTTGCAGTATGAGGCTAAGATTTCCATTCCCAGCAGCTACTACCCAACACCAAGCATAATCATGGCAACAGTGCAGTTTGTGACTCCTAACACCACAAGATGTACGGTATCTGGCACAGTACAATCACGTGCAAGTACTGCAACCAAAGAATACACAAGCACAACAAAAGTATGCAACACTCCTCAAGTACTGCCACTGAAGTATGTGAGCCCTGATCACAGTGACAACAAAGGGAAGGTAGGAGGAAAGAATGAGAAGAATCTTGTCAACGCCCTGTGTCAGTTGTTTGATGGAATGAGATGGATAGTGAGCTCATCAAAGGAAGGGTCTGGTCAGCTTTTAATAAACTCCACCTGGCTGAAAAATAGGCTCACAAAGTGGCCCCAGCTGGTTAAAATAAAGACCCAAAGGAAGTTAAAGGAATTCCACAGCCAAGTACACTCCGCAGACACCACTAAGCATGCTCCAACACCAGCTGGATGTCCTAAAGTGTAACTCAATTCTGCCTCTATCTACCCGCAGATGATTTTGGAACCCACAGGTTAGGAGGTCAGTCCTAAAGACTAAACCCCACCCCTAATTTCAGACAGGTTCTCACCCAGGCTTCTGACCAATCAGATCTCACATGAAAGTGCTAATAACCTCTTACTTGGGATCCATTAAATTTCTAGAGCAGCTCCCAGAGCTCGGGGGAAAGAAAAAGAAAACTGCACTTTCTAGATTATCAGCTTACTATAAAAGGATGAAAGTGGTATGGAGCTCTAAACCCCATCCCTCTGGTTTCAGAAGACAATTTCATTATATAAATGACTAAATCACTGGGGATAGGTTCACCTTCCTGCCCTCTCTACTCCTGGAGGGAGACCACAGAGGGGAACTGAAACTTCCAACCTTCCGATCACAGGGCTGGTTCCCCTGACTAGTCCCCAGACATAAGTGACATAAGGGCATTGTAAAAGTCACCTTTTAAACATTTCTCTCACCACTTAAAAATATTCAAAGGTTTTAGAAGACATGTTCTAGAGAGACAAAGAAATATATAATGTATTTATTGTTATAAGTCACAGCATTGCACAGATAATAGTGTTTTCCTTCCTTGTAAATGATGTCCAAGGAATCCACATTAGGCTTCCCAGTCATCTTTCTTACTACTTCCCATCACTACCCCACCCCTGTTTTAAGTACTGCATGAAATTATGTGTTTCTATATATGTATTTGAACATTTGGAAACCAAAAGCATTATAGAAATGAAGGATAACAAAGACATACTCTCTCTGATGACCCACTGACCCACATGGAACTGCAATGAGGGAAAATACTTTCACTATGAAATCACTGAGATGTAAGGAAGTTTGTTATTGATAAACTATTTAGCTAAAGAAAAATAGAATATCAATTTTCTAAAATATGAAATAAATATAATACATTTTCATTTTGAAAATTAATGTTAAGATGAATAATGGTTTTATAATATGAATGTTAAAGAAAGGTCTCCTTAATATAGACCTCAGAACCTTGGATCTGTCCAAATATATTGTGAATCTCCCACGTGAAGAATATAGTCTTTTGGGGCTGGAGCAATAGCACAGCGGGTAGGGCCTTTGCCTTGCACAGAGCCAACCCGGGTTTGATTCCCAGCATCCCATATGGTCCCCTGAGCACCGCCAAGAGTGATTCCTGAGTGCAAAGCCAGGAGTAACCCCTGTGCATCGCTGGGTGTGACCCAAAAAGAAAATATATATAATATACATATATATATACTCTTTTCCCAATTTAATAACATAAAATTTTTTTACAAACTAATGTTCCACTGGTAGTCTATCCACAGCATAGGAAGCATGACAACTATAACCTATAACTTCCTTAAATCCCTAATTCAGCTTTGACACTAGAAGAGGAAAAGATAAAAACTCATTTCCAGTACAACTCAATCCACCCCATTCTTTCTCCACCATGTTGAACTGACCAGACAGAAATATGGTGATGTTATACATTTATGTAAATCTTCCTCCTACCCATTTTCCTTC